CGAAGGACGTCGACAGCTCCAGCGGTAAGAGCCGAGGCGACGGGGAGGCGTCGTGCTCAATGGTCAGCGTGGTGGAGCCGACGGTCTCGCTGGCGCCGGAGGCTGGCGAGGACTTCCAGGCGGTGGCAGCAGCTGTGGAGGCTAACCCGATGGCGGTGCTGCTCGACAGCGGGTGCTCCCACCACCTGATGGGGACAAAATCGGTCTTCGTCGACATGGGGCCGGGCGACGGAGTGAAGCACGTGCGTGGGTTCAACGGGGCCTTGCAGTCTGTCGAGGGTCGTGGAACTGTTGCTCTGCAAGGGGAGGCCAAGAAGCGGGTGCTCATCCCCGACGTGCTCTACGTTCCGGGTGTTCAGGCGAACCTGTTGTCTGCTGGCCAGCTGAAGGAGAGCGGCGTGCTACTGCAGGGCGATGGCGATGAGATGCTGCTCGTCGCCGCGATTGGAGAGGTGCTCGGTCGAGCACGCTACACCGGACGAGTCCTCTGCACCGACCTTCGCCCCTGCTCGACGCAGTCGCAGTCGACCGAGGTGGTGGCTCTGCGGACGATCGTCTCGGCGACGAAGACGACCCCCGATAGGATGCATGCGCGGCTTGCACACGTCAGCGTCGACACGATCAAGAGCTCGGCGAAGCACGATGTTGCTACTGGGCTCGACATCACGTCGTCAACCGGAGCAGACCCGCCATGTGTCTCGTGCGTCGGAGGAAAGCTGGCGCGGCACACCTTCCCCGCCAAGGGCTCGGATGCAACGGAGGCGCTAGCTGTCGTGCACATTGACTTGTGCGGGCCATTTCGGGTGGCTGCCAAGGATGGCAGCTTGTACTTCCTGCGACTGAAGGATCGCCATACTCGATTTGTATGGGCAATGCCGGTCGCTAAGAAGAGTGACGTGCTGCGGGAGTTCCAGCGGTGGCTGGTGCTGGTGGAACGGCAGACGAAGCAGTCGGTGTTGTCGCTTCGCTCCGATCGAGGCGGGGAGTTCCTCGGGAAGGCGTTCACCGACTTCGTCGACGGGAAGGGCATCGTCCACGACCTGACATGCCCCTACACTCCGCAGCAGAATGGCATGGCCGAGCGGGAGATGCGCACGGCCGTCGAGTCCGTGCGGACGATGTTGCTGCACATGGGCGTGCAGCACCATTGGTGGCACCTGGCTCTACGGCAAGCTGTCTGGGTGCGCAACTGCTTGGGGTGGTCGACGACGCCGCCGGGGACGACTCCGTACCAGCTGCTGACCGGGCAGAAGCCCGACCTTACACTAGCGCGGGTGTGGGGCTGCATGGTGCAGTTCATGGTCCCCGAGCAGCAACGTGGTGGAAAGCTGGCGCCGAAGGCTCGCTGGGGACTTCACCTGGGTGTGTCGTTGGAGAGTAAGGGCTGGGAAGTGCTCGACCTGACCGACAACAAGGTGGTCACGTCGGTCGAGGTGATCTTCTACGAGACGCTGTCGCTGGAGGTGTGGAAGGCGAAGTATGGGCCGGCGTCCGGGCGGATGCAAGTGCACCCGCCAACGGACACCTCGACGGCGGCGGTTCCGTTGCTCGCCGACATCGACGAGCCTGTTGTTGAGGAAGTTTTGCAGGATCTTCCCCCTTCCCCTGCTCCTGCTCCTCCGTTCCCCGTCGCACCTTGGCCTGTGTCGACCACCGACGATGAGGGGAGCCTTGAGGCGTCGCCTGTGGCGCCGGCCCGTGGCATCGCCGGCGGTTGACAAGGCGCCAAGCTCGTCGACCAGGATGGGAAGTCGTCGGCGACAGGGGAGCACCAGATAGGGGAGCCGGTCGAACAGGATGCAAAAGCAGGGGTGCACTCGACAGGGCAGCCGGAGCGGTCGACAGGAGAGCTGTCGAAGGCAGCAACAGACGAACAACCGGTCGAAGGGTAAAAAAAGCTGGTCGACGACGTTCCCGTCGACGAGAAAGGGAAGCAGTCGGCGGGTGAGGAGTCCACCGACAGCGACGTGATGGAAGTGCCGATCACGAAGCCTGAGTTGCGACGCTCAGGTCGAGCTCGACGGCCGCCAGAGAGGTTGAGCTTCCACGCCTGCCTACCGCCAGCTGCCTTCACCACGGTGTACGACGAGGTCCGCAAGAGGTCGGAGGTGAACTCACCACCTCTGTCAGAGTGTAGACGCAGGACAGGAAGGTCGAGGCGGAACCTGCGGCGGAGCCGGAGACGAACTGCTCGGATCCAAGGGATCAGGACAGCAGGGACCTCACCCTTGGTGCACAAGGGAAAGACCGTGGTGTACCACGAGTAGTCGTCGACAACCAGTAGAAAGTACCGCTCACCGCCCTGTCCACGAACACGGGCTGGGCCCCACACGTCCATGTGAAGGGTCTGCAGAGGAGCCTCTCTCGGGGGAAACGAGGAGGAGTGAGGAGCGGCGCGCTGCCGCCCCTCGACACAAGGAAGGCAGGGCGGCGCAGGCGAGGCAGGGAGGGGAGGGAGAGACCTGGGAAGACCAGACACAAGGAGGCGACGGTGCATGCCACGTAGACGTGGCAAGGAGGGGTGACCCAGACGGTGGTGCCAGAGAAGAGTCTGGTGCGACAGGGAGCGAAACTCACAAGGGGAGGCTACCTGACCTGTCGCAGACACCTGACCAGTAGCAGCTACCTGAGGAGGCGCAATTGTTAGTGTGTAAAGACTCGACCCTGGCCGACGGGTAAACGTGGCCAGGTGGCGGCCAGTCCGGGAGCACGTACAGATCGCCACACGCTGTCCTCCAGGGGTAAAGGTGTCAACCCACTAGTCCTGGAGAACTGTGTTGCTCACCAAGTTCGTAGAGAACGAGGGGAGGTGGAAGCCTGTCAGTGAGCTAGACGGAACCGTCGGGCACGGAAGCACAGTTGTGGACCGTGCAAGAACTGGGCCCACTGAGGGGTCAGCCAGAGAGATTGCAACAGGTGCAGTGAGTGGTGTGAGTGCAGTACTGTCACGAAAGAAACAGCGGGAAGCACCTGAGTCAAGCGTGAAGGTGTAGAAGGCCTCAGTAGGCACCTAAGGCAGCAGCCTCACTAGCACCTAGAGCAGCAACCTCTATACCGGGGTCTTACAACACGCACAGGTGACAGTCACGCTCAGCACCACCAGGCAAAGTAGACATGGCAGTAAGGATGGCGTCATAGTCTAAAGTAAAGACAGCAACGCCCGACCTAAACAGCTCAAGCCAGGGGGGGATCTCAGCCTCATCGCCAAACTCTGTGCGCCAGGCGTTTCTCAAATAGGCGAAGCACTGGGACTGTGCCTGACCAGGTGTCCGACAGGTCTCACAAGTTCGACGACTTGTGTGAATGACGTACGGGCAGCGACCCGGACTCGGAGACGGTCCACGCTGGTAAAGCCACTCACGAAGCTGCCGGGGCGTAAGGGTCGGACGCCGCCGTAACTGCATCTGGCCACCGCCAGACACTCCGCACCAAACAGCACCACAGTGACTGCTACTACGGCCGCCACCACTCCCACTGCTGCCACCACCGCCGTCACCACTCCCACCGGTACGACAAAGGGAAGTCATGGCGGGCGAGCTTGGAGGAGCGCGACCTCTAGGGCAGTACGGAGTGAAGGCAGTAGCACGAGTAGCAGCAGCAACAGTAAGAGCAGCAGGGCGGCGCGCGGCCAGAGCCTGCTCTGATACCATGTGAAGATAGCAAGCGGGAATGATTGCATTTAATGAAATGTGGGTACAAGTACTAACCCTAACTTCGGGTTGTACCCCATATGGGCTACCCCACTATAGCCTACACAGAACTAACACATATATAGTTTGACAGTTCTCGGCGTTGCCCAAGCGGGGGCGGGGCCAACACCCCAATCCCGTTAACAGCCAAATATGTTACTGTCAGCCCCCGGATAGAAGCGCCCCTGGGGTTATAAAAAAACACTGTTTTTTAGGGGGTGCGCTTATAATTGAGGAATTTTATAAGCGCCGGCGCTTATAAAATGGCAAAAAGAATATATATTTGTTTTACACCAAACTGTATATCTCGTTCTGCCGATTGTAATCAAGTCGAAAACATATAGGGTCGCTAATCTGATTTTCGCGCAGCTTGGCAGGGAGTGATTCCCTGCCAGCTCACCCGGACAGAATTACAGCACATGCTGACTAGACGCGCAAAAAGTGAGTTCAGAGTGTGGGAAATCGAAATTGTAGTTCGTTTCCCTGATTATGTGAAATTCGTTTCTGATATTTGAAAGTTTTTCAAATAAAAAACAAACATGCGCTTATAATATATCATCTTTTTCTAGGGGGTGCGCTTATAATCGAGGACCGGATATAAGCGCCCTCATCCTTTTATAAGCGCCGGCGCTTATCCTAGGCCTGCGCTTCTATCCGGGGGCTTACGGTACGTCCACCCATGGTGCTCCCCCCCTTCTTCAACCTCCTGCTCCTCACCCCTTCGCTTCGCCTAATCAACCTTGGACTCACCCAGCATGTACGTCGCTCGCAAAAGGATCACCTGAGCCTGCGCCCTCCGCAAAGCTACCCCTACTACGGCTGTCAAGGACCCCAACAAATATGCTGAGAAACCCGAGCGGTTACCACTTTCCACACCCTTGTTAAGAGCCACCTTTAGATGAACATCTCCCTGCTGCCGTAACCATTGTCAGAAACTTCCACTCAAGCAACCCCAAGTCTCGAGAATCAACAGAAAAAAACGTACCCCATTGTGCTGCTGCAAATAAGGATGATACTCGAAGTGGTAATGTAGCCCAACCTCAGATGTACAAGCCAATACAAATTGAACAAAATACAGTACCATATGCCTACATTTTTTAGCATGTGATTACAACTTCGCCCGTTTTCCTTTAGTGTACTAGGGACCCACATATTCCCCCAGTACCCCCCTTTGTAGTCTCCAAACAAAAAAGGCATAAACGGTTCCCTCCATGTAGCTTTAACTATCTCAGTGCAACAGTATGGTTTTAGGTCCTTTAATGCCCGCGAAAGCAGATGCCTGGGAGAGTTTGTAGGTATATCGCGCATAAGCTACACCTGGCCGGCAGCACCAGGCTGGTAACCAGCATAAGCATCCTGAGACGGCTTGTTGTACTGGTTATCCCCTGCGTATGCTCCTGTAGCTTGAGTCGTGTATTCCACCTCCACCTCTGCAGAGAGGGAAGCACACACGAGGGTACAAGGACAAGGGAGGTGTGAGGGAATGCAAGGGCGAATAATGGAGAGGAACAACGGGGAGGAATTTCAGGACCCAGACCCTCCATGATGAGTGCGAGCAGCAGAAGCTACAGAGCGCGAGAAAAAGAAGCATTGGTTCACACTGGTGGGCTCTGTTGGCCACTCTGCACATGTTGGCCACTCTGCACATGTTGGCCACTCTGCACATGTTGGCCACTCTGCACATGTTGGCCACTCTGCACATGTTGGCCACTCTGCACATGTTGGCCACTCTGCACATGTTGGCCACTCTGCACATGTTGGCCACTCTGCACATGTTGGCCACTCTGCACATGTTGGCCACTCTGCACATGTTGGCCACTCTGCACATGTTGGCCACTCTGCACATGTTGGCCACTCTGCACATGTTGGCCACTCTGCACATGTTGGCCACTCTGCACATGTTGGCCACTCTGCACATGTTGGCCACTCTGCACATGTTGCCGCAATGAATGACGATAAAGACCCCGACAAGTGAGAGGCGTCTTACAAATGGAGAGGAGAAACTTTTGTTCACGCAGGTGCCTTTCAGGTGCTTACCTTTGGACCTCTTGCCACACTGCATGATGATGAAAACAGCAGCCACGACACCAACGACCAGCAGCAGCACGCCCACCACGATGCCCACGATGGCTCCTGTGGACAACCCCGAGCTGGAGGAGGAAGCATTGGCGCTGGCGTTGGCGTTGTTGTTGTTGGTGTTGGTGATGGTGGTGGTGGTGCTGCTGCTGCCGTCGGGGTTGGATGGAGGAGGCTCAACAGGAGGAGGGGGAGGAGGAGGGGAAGGGGAAGACTCGGAGGGAGATGCAGGGATGGGAGGAGAGATTGGAGGCTCCGATGGGGATGCTTCGGAAGGAGATGCCTCGGATGGCTGAGCGTCGGATGGCTGGGCGTCGGATGGCTGGGCGTCGGATGGCTGGGCGTCGGATGGCTGGGCGTCGGATGGTGGAGCATCAGATGCTGGGGCTGCACACAAACAAGCAAAAAAAAAACATTAGAAAATGTCGTGTGTGTGTGTGTGCCGCTGCCTCTGCAACAGACGATTTTTTTAGGCGCCTCAAAAATGGACAGAACAGGTGCTGCTGCCTCTGCAACAGATAGTACCCACCAGGTGCAGACGCGATGCAGGATTTGCAGAAGGCAGCACAGGCGGTGCAGAAGGGGCTGCTCTCGCTCTGCTCCACCACACACGGGGTTTTGCTGGCAGGGCAGGTCACGGTAGAGTCGTAGTTGCTGCATGCAGGGGCAGTGAGAGAGAGGGCAAGGGAGTGAGAGGGCAGGAACTGTGAGAGGGCTGGGGCTTGTGAGAGGGCAGGGTGTTGCTTGCAGGGCAGGCCACAGTAGAGTCGGAGTTGCTGCAGGTGGGGACAGTGACGGGGGGGCACGGACAGTGAGAGGGGGGGCATAGACAGTTAAGGGGGGGCATGGACAGTGAAAGGGGGGCATGGACAGTGAGAGGGCAGAAGGGGTGGCTGTCGCTCTGCTCCACCACACACAAGGTCCCACTGGCAGGGCAGGCCATGGTGGGATCGTAGTTGCTGCATGCAGAGGGAGTGATGGGAAGGGGGGCAGGGTGAGAGGGGAGGCGGGGTGAGTCGGCAGGTCGGTACAGAGGGGGCTGCTGTCGCTCTGCTCCACTTCGCCGGGGTGTTGCTGGCAGGGCAGGTTACAGAGGGTCGTAGTTGCTGCAGACAGGGGCAGCGAGAGGGAAAGCAGGGTGGTGATAGGGAAGGGACGCACATTGGTGCAATTTCCTCACAAAATGCTTCCTGGTGTTTGGCACGCCAACAACGCGAGGAGAGGTGTTGCAGCAAGACTGGCTGGTTTTTGGGAGGTGCCACCAAGAGTGGGTTTTGGGAGGTGCCACCAAGAGTGAGTTTTGGGAGGTGTCACCAAGAGTGAGTTTTGGGAGGTGCCACCAAGAGTGAGTTTTGGGAGGTGCCACCAAGAGTGAGTTTTGGGAGGTGCCACCAAGAGTGAGTTTTGGGAGGTTCCACCAAGAGTGAGTTTTGGGAGGTGCCACCAAGAGTGAGTTTTAGGAGGTGCCACCAAGAATGAGAGGTGTTACAGCAAGAACGGCTGGCTTTTGGGAGGTGCCACCAAGAGTCGCGTCTATTCTGTGACACTTGAGCTTACAAGGTGAGGAGACATGGTGCATTACAAAGTCAGTTTCTCACAAGCTGCTCTTCCCTGCTGTGGTACCGTGAGCTTACAAGTTGAGGAGAGTTGGTGCGTGCAAAGTGAGAGTGCCTGGCTTTTAGGAGGCGCCGCCAAGTCAACGTTTCGCCTCAAAAGTCTGTGCTATGGCACTTGAGGTTACAAGGAGACGAGACGTGGTGCACTCAAAATGCGCCTCAAAATGCGCCTCAAAATGCGCCTCAAAATGTGCCTCATAATGCGTCTCAAAATGCACCTCAAAATGCACCTCGAAATGTGCCTCAAAAGTATGTTCTTACAAGTAGGTGAGAGGCGGTGCACCCAGAGTGGGTGGAAGCGTGCCAGTGAGCTTGTTGCCCTCGAGCCTCCTGTGTGGATGGGTGGGTGGGACGAAGTACATTCCACATCGAAGTGAGCAGTGTGTCTTGTAAAGATGAGGGCATGTAAGGCAATGACTTGTGATGGGGTGAGGAGATAAGGCAATGACTTGTGGTGAGGTGAGGAGATGAGGGGCAAGAGAATTGGAGAATCAAGACCGGTAATGATTGTGGGGGATAAGGGTCAGAGCTGGTAGCACTGAGAGAAAGCAGCATCACTCACAGCGAGCAGCAGCACTGACAGCAGCACTGACAGCGAGCAGCAGCACTGACAGTGGCACCGACAGCGGCAGTGACAGCAGCAGTGACAGCAGCAGTGACAGCAGCAGTGACAGCAGCAGTGACAGCAGCAGTGACAGCAGCAGTGACAGCAGCAGTGACAGCAGCAGTGACAGCAGCAGTGACAGCAGCAGTGACAGCAGCAGTGACAGCAGCAGTGACAGCAGCAGTGACAGCAGCAGTGACTCACAGGGTGCCAAGGTCAGGCAGCGAACCGAGGCCGGATGGAATGGAGCCCCCCACGCCCGTGTAGTCAAGGCGGCTGGTGGGGGTAAGGCAGGGCGGGGAGGATGAGGAAAGTCGGGAGAAGCGGGAAGGTAGCAGGCAGCAGCAGTGATAGGATCTGAGGGCCAGGCAGTGATAGGATCTGAGGGCCAGGCAGTGATAGGATCTGAGGGCCAGGCAGTGATAGGATCTGAGGGCCAGGCAGTGATAGGATCTGAGGGCCAGGCAGTGATAGGATCTGAGGGCCAGGCAGTGATAGGATCTGAGGGCCAGGCAGTGATAGGATCTGAGGGCCAGGCAGCGAGCCGAGGCCGGATGGAAGGGAGCCGCCCACACCCATGTAGACAAGCCGCCTTGTGGGGGAAGGCAGTGGGGGGAGGATGGGGAAGGTAGGGTGAGAGGACGGGGAAGGTAGGGGGAGAGGATGGGGAAGGTAGGGGGAGAGGATGGGGAAGGTAGGGGGAGAGGATGGGGAAGGTAGGGGGAGAGGATGGGGAAGGTAGGGGGAGAGGATGGGGAAGGTAGGGGGAGAGGATGGGGAAGGTAGGGGGAGAGGATGGGGAAGGTAGGGGGAGAGGATGGGGAAGGTAGGGGGAGAGGATGGGGAAGGTAGGAAAACGGGGAGGCATGGTTCAAGCCACTGAATGGACGGGGTGAGGTGAGATGCGGTGAGGTGAGGTGCGGTAACTCGCTGGTGCATGTTGAAGGCAGTGGGGGCTTACAGTGAGAGGAGCTTAGAAAGGCCGGAGGTGGTGCGGTGCGGTGAGGTGAGGCACGGTGAGGTGATGTGAGTTGCTGCTTTATCGTGAAGACTTACAGTGAGAGGAGCTTAGAGAGGCCGGTGATGGTGCTGGGAATGGTGCTGCCTGTGAAGTTGTTGCCTGTGAGATAGCTGCAAGGGACAGAGGGGGGAGCATTCACACATGAATGGTGCTGGAGGGATTTCTGAGATGTCTCTGGAATGGTGCTGCCTGTGAAGTTGTTGCCTGTGAGAGTGCTTCAGGGAGTGAGGAGGAGGGCGTTCACACGTGGTGCTGCAATGAACCTATCTTATTTATAAGCTTACATCGGTTTTGCACAAGAAAGAAAGAAGGGAAAAAAAAAAAAAACTACATAACAAAACAAAACCTACAATGATACATGCAGGTTTCATATCATTACATCCATGCACTCGCTTCAGGTGATAACAACCACACATAGGTTACTCCGCCACACATAGGTTACTCCGCCACACATAGGTTACTCCGCCATTCTTTATCAGCACTCCTCCCCTCCGACACCCCACCCTGCCCTCACAGCCCTCCTACCCCTCTAACACCCCGCCCTCCACACACCCTGCACCTCCTCCCCGGACTCACAGGTACTCCAGGTTGGGGATGGTGCCGATGCTGGCAGTGAGTGGCCCGATGTTGTTGTTGGTGAGATCGCTGTGAGGCGTGGGAGGGAGAGGCGTGGTAGGTAGAGAGGTAGCAGTGTGCTTACAGCGAGGTGAGGTTGTGCTTACAGCGAGGTGAGGTTGTGCTTACAGCGAGGTGAGGTTGTGCTTACAGCGAGGTGAGGTTGTGCTTATAGCGAGGTGAGGTTGTGCTTACAGCGAGGTGAGGTTGTGCTTACAGCGAGGTGAGGTTGTGCTTACAGCGAGGTGAGGTTCTTGAGGTTGGAGAACGACTCGGGGATGGGCCCTGTGAGAGCAGCTCCTGTGGTGTCATAATCACTCACGCTGATGGTGCTGTGGATGCACAAGGTGAGACATACAGAAGAGACGTATCGTGAGGCCATGCTTTTGTAAGGAATGGCCATGCCCTTGTAGGGCATGACTCACGCTGGAAATTCTGTAAGGCCTGCCTGGTGTGTATAATCACCACCTGCTAGAGTGCACTGTGCCTGTATTGAGAAAGTGGTGCTTGCAGGGAGTGATTGTATTGAGAAAGTGCTGCTCACATTGAGTGACTGAATTGAGTAAGCAGTGCTCACAGTTCTTGCAGGCTGGACATGTTGCCAAAGGAGGCCGGGATGCTCCCCGAGTCCACCTGGCTGATCACCCTGCAGGGTTGATGAGAGAGAGAGGGGTAGGAGAGTGATGAGAGAGAGAGGGGTAGGAGAGTGATGAGAGAGAGAGGGGTAGGAGAGTGATGAGAGAGAGAGGGGTGATGGGCAGCGCAGTTTGCAGTGGACAGCGCAGTGTGCGGTACGGTGTGGTGCGGTGGGGTGGGACTCACAGCTTCTGCAGGTTGGGCATGTTGCCCATGCTGGCGGGTAGGGTACCTCCAAAGTGTTCTAAGACGTCTCAGAACTAACTTATCCTCATGTGCGGTGGGTATCGCAGTGTGTGGTATGGTGTGGTGCGGTGGGAAGAGGCTCACAGCTTCTGCAGGTTGGGCATGTTGCCCATGCTGGCGGGTAGGGTGCCTCCAATGCTGATGAACCCCAGATCCCTGCCGTGCTCTCACGCACGCATGCATGCACGCGCACACACACACACACACACAAACACACACACACACACATTTTCACACACACACACACACACTCACACACACACTCACACTCACACGCACACTCACACTCACTCAAACACACACTCACACACACACTTACACACACACTTACACACACACGCACGCACGCACGCATGCACACACACACACACACACACACACACACACACACACACACACACACACATGGGCGATTGTTAACATTTCGCCTCCTGTCACGTTTAGCGAGCCTAATTAGGTTGCTAGAATTGCACCTCCTGTTACAGGGAGGTGAGAGGGTCACAGGGCAGTGAGAGGGTCACAGGGCGATTAGTCGTGTGAGGTGGGTGATGACATCTGGGATGGTGTCGAAGCGCAGAGGGTGGGCGCAGGAAGAGCGCAGGGAGGGCGCAGGAAGAGCGCAGAGAGGGCGCAGGATAAGCGCAGGGAGGGCGCAGGAAAGAGCGCAGGGAGGGAGAGGGCGGAAGGAGAGGGCGCAGGGAGAGTGGCTCACAGGGAGGTGAGTCGTGTGAGGTTGGTGATGACATCTGGAATGGTGTTGAAGCGCGAACTGATTGACGTTGGGCTGGTGTGATGCGGAGGGGGGACGCAGAGAAGGGGTGAAGGCGGAGGGCGCAGGGAGAGGATTTGATTTTCTATGACATCTGGAATGGTGTCAAAGCGTGAACTCATAGACTTTGGGCTGGTGTGATGCAGAGGGGGGAAGGCGAGGGCGAAAGGAGATATACTGGGGGAAGAAGCAGCAGCAGCAGTAACAGCACTCATCACCAGCAACAACCAATCATCATCATCATCATCATCATCATCATCATCATCATCATCATCATCATCATCATCATCATCATCATCATCATCATCATCATCATCATCATCATCATCATCATCATCATCATCATCATCATCATCACACCACCACCATCACATTGCAGCGTACTAGATTGAGACGATGATGCCCTCCGCGTCGCCCTCGGGCATGACCATCAGCAGCACCACAAGCAGCAGCAGCAGCAGCAGCAGCGGCGGCGGCGGCGGCGGCGGCGGCGGCGGCGACGGCAGCGGCAGCAGCGGCGGCGGCAGCAGCAGCACCCATCATCATCACATCACCATTACAATCACCGTGGGGGCGTACTAGATGGAGACGATGAAGCCCTCATCGTCGCACTCGCGAATGACCTGGAAGTTAGTGGAGTCCGCGCAGTCCCCGCCGTTCACGATGTCGATGCCCCACTCCTTCGATAGCTCCTTGAGAGGCGGGACTGCAGCGAGGAAAGGGTGAAAGTGAGAGAGAGAGAGAGAGAGAGAGAGAGAGAGAGAGAGAGAGAGAGAGAGAGAGAGAGAGAGAGAGAGAGAGAGAGAGGAGGGGGGGGGGGGGGGGGGGGAGGGGAATAGGGGAAGGGGGGGAATTTCGGTGCCTAAGCAGTCGACCTGGTAGCTGGTCAAGTCAGCACAGTCGCCGCCGTTGACGATATCGATGCTCCACACCTTAGGTAGCTCCTTGAGGGGCGGGAATGCGGCGAGAGAGAGAGGGCAGGGAGTAGGGGGAGCAAATGCAAGCCCCTCAGAAGCCGACCTGGAAGTTATACGAGTTAGCACAGTCCCCGGCGCCGTTGTATGTCGATGGCCCACGCTTTGGCTCCTAGAGAGCCGGGACTGCAGTGAGAGGGAAGATGGGGAGGAGTAGGACGATGATCTAGGGCGGGACATGGAAGGCGTTCAAGGTCGATTTGAAAGGTACAGGTGGTCGCACAGTCTTCGCCGATGTATGGATGCCCCCCACACCTTTGACAACTCCTTGTGGCGCCTCCCAAATCTTTGGCAACTGACGACAAGTGGGATGGCAGAGGAGCGAAGTAGAGGGAATAGCAGTTGCTGGGTGAATGAATGCGTCATGGCATAAAATTCCTCCAAGCAGGACTGCTGAGGGAGAGAGGTTGAGAGAGGGGGGGAGGGGCGGAGAGAGGGGGAAGGGTATGAGCGGGGAGAGAGGAGCATTTGCTCGTTAGGTGGTGGCATGATGACCCACGCCCCACGTTGCTGATTGCAGGAGGGGGGGAAAGAGAGCAACGCAGCGGGATGAGGAGGAGAGCAGGGAGAAGAGGAGGAGAGCAGGGGGGGAGGAGGAGAGCAGGGGCAGAGAAGGAGCAGGGAGAAGAGGAGGAGAGCAGGAGGGAGAGGAAGAGAGCAGGGGTGAGAGGAGGAGAGCAGGGGAAAGAGGAGGAGATCAGGGGGGAGAGGAGGAGAGCGGGGGGAAGAGGAGGTGAGCGGGGAGGGAAGGGGAGTGCGCATGCGGCTGCAGTGGAGGAGAAGGCGAGAAGTCGATGGGAAGGGAGGGGTGCGACTCGCCAGATGGAGAGCGGGAATGAAGCCGGATGGAGAGGAGCGAAAGCAGAGAGAAAGGCTCATGTAATCCATTATGGATGTCGCTGCTTCGCCAGAAGTTCCGGCTTTTGGGTTGTCGCCGCATGGCATGCGACGCGACGCGACGCGACGCGAGCTGCGGCCAGCTTACGTTGCGACTTTTCGATGAAGGGAATCGCTTCCACGATGTAGTAGTTCCCGGCGCCGCGTGTGTCGGTCCCCAAACCGGTGGGGTCAGGAACGAGGAGAGCGAGGAGGAAAAGTATAGTCGTGCCTCCGAAAAGCCTTTTCGGAGACACTGCCGCGCTGTTGTTTCTTGCCATGATAGTAGGTGTGACCGCTCTCAGTGCTAGAGACTTCTGTGGGAGAGTCGCGTTTAGCAAGTGTTTTGTTGGTTCAAATGGTCCTTTGCCACTTCTGAAGACGCAAGTCGATGCAATTCCGATGGCTTCTTGCCAGGACTGGTTTGGGTGGGTGAGGCTTGTATGTGAACTGAGCAGCAATGAAGAGAAGAGACAGAATCCTGTGAAAGATGGACAAGACAAGAAAGAATGGCAAATGAAACTTCATTTCCAATATGAATATCAGGGCAGTCCAGCTTTGCACATGTACAGTAAATTTTCGGCTCAGTTTCCACATTCGGGCAGTAACAGAACATCAAACGTAACAGAATCCGTAGACTGTACATGTATAATGACATTACGGAAACGTGCCCGGGACGTGCAGAGCTCGTCCGAAGGTTCACGTCAAACTCGTTTCGCGTCAAACACGCCAAAAGGTAACATCCTATTTCGCTAATTTGCTTTCGCCAATGGATCCCTCTTCCGTCACAGGTGCAAAAAACCTCGCTTTATTGGGTAGCCCCTCATCCCTGGTAACTGTAGCCCGCAGCGTTACTGTACCTTGTCAAAAGTCTGAATTGTGCACTCGGAACTGGACAGGAAATGTTTGGAGTCCGCCCTGGGGTGCAGTCAAGTTTGACTACTGCATTGACATAAAAAGACGGAAAAAAAAAAAAATATACAGGAGTAGCAAAGTTGGACCCGCCCTCAGGGCAGGAGAAATCGGTGCGGTGCGGGGTGGTACCACTTTACATCTCAACAAGCGGGTTGCGCGCCAAAGTGCCTCCAGCTGCCAGAACTGCCTTGCTGGACGCCACGGCAGCATTCTCGAAGGATTCAACAGTAGTCCTTGAAGCTTGGTACTTCGAAATCCGTCGATCTCGATCGAGTTTCGACTGAAGCCCACGAACTTGCTGCGGTGTCAGAAACTCTGCAAGAGCAAGAAGTCCAAGTGGATGCGTTTGCTGAGCTGGAGGTGACCAACTCAACGCTCACCCGGTCGTCAATGTCAATCTAGTTTGGCTGTATGCTGGCAGAATCAGGTCGCACATCATTCTTTGACCAATCGCAATGAGCGGATACTGATGCTATACGACTTCTTACGACTCCCTGACGATCGACTCCCAGCAACCATGCTGACGGTTGACGCAAGTGCTGACGGTTGTACTTCAGCAGGCGGATGTGGCTGATAGTCAGCAACATCCTTGTAACGCGTCTTTCTGGGATCGTTTCAGCAGATTCGTTATCATACTTGAACATGCGAACAGATATTGCGTATATAACACTTATGGTGGATAGCATTGCGTTTTTGTAGGTATAATACGTAACATTTATCCTTGATTTTTACACATTTGCGAATTATGTATTACCCTCGGAACTTCAAATTCAAGCCAGATCCTGGTGTTGTTTGAATGCTTCACGGAAGTAATCACTTATGGACTTCAGTGGTGTGTTATCTGTACGGAGCCCTTACACGATAGACATAAAGCACGGGTACATCATGGCATTTTTCAAGTTCAAGATTCTTGAACTTGAAATCGCCAAAAACAGGGTTACCTTCTTTGGTTTGAAACACAACTCGCGAGGCAGGGGAAAACTCTTGCGACGGTCGATCCTGATTGGTTTCTCAGCCCAGTCGCACAACAGATCCGACCATCGCTCACTAGGTTGCCCCGATCTCCTCTCACATATCTTGAAGACCAAGTAGTACTCCTAGCCCACTAGACTACTCACGTTAGGAAACGCACGGCATGGCGATAAAGGCTAGCTCTGGTAGTGGCGTTTTTTTTTTTTCATCCAACTCTACTCACTCACGCTGTCTTGCCAATAGCTGAGCAACACAAGTTCATGCCAAACACGCTATTACCGTACCATTTTCGCATGCCAGACACGGAACGCCCATTCTAGCGCACGACACGCGCAATGCTCGTAGATGGCATTCCCGAGTCGCGAGTCGCGATCCCGCTTACATTTCCTCCCGTCGTTCGATCCCTACCATCAATGGTCACTCGTCCCTCCTTACCTGCCGCCCTCGCTTCCTCTCTTGTCGTCGCTTTCGTTGCCCGTCGTCCCTCTCCATCACCCTCACGTCTCCTGCTGTCGGCCACGCTAGGTCCATACTTTGCCTTCCGCGTCACCCTCGTCTCCCCTGGCCGTCGCCCTATTTTGCCTCGTCGACCGTAATTCCCGTTAAAAAAGTGTTTTTCACATCAATCTTGGATTTTTCTTTTCAAATATACACAGGTATTTTTGTCGCGCGTTATTCCCCGCCTCGCAATTCCCCTATCCACCTCGTCTCGCTTGCTTCCCTTCGTCGCCCGCAATTCCCCACGCCGCCGCGATTCCCCACGCCGCCCGCGATTCCCCCCGTTGCCGTCGCCCTCGTTTCCCCCCAACGCCCGGTTTTCCCACCACGCACCACACGCCTTTCCCCCCACATACACCATCCACCTTCTTCTCCCCACACCACCTGCCTTCGGCCAACACCACACGCCCTCCTCCCCCCCACATACCCGCCTCCTCCCCCCCACATACCCGCCTCCTCCCCCCCACATACCCGCCCTCCTCCCCCCCACATACCCGCCCTCCTCCGCCCCACATATCCGCCCTCCTCCCCCCCGCATACCCGCCCTCCTCCCCCCCACATACCCGCCCTCCTCCCCCCCACATACCCGCCCTCCTCCGCCCCACATATCCGCCCTCCTCCCCCCCGCATACCCGCCCTCCTCCCCCCCGCATACCCGCCCTCCTCCCCCACACGTACTCACCATCCTTCCCCCCACATACACGGGACAGAGAAGGAGGGTGAGAGGGGGAGGGGGAGAGGTGGAGAGAGAGAGTGGGAGGGACAGAGGGGTAGGGACAGAGGGACAGAGACAGTGGGGGAGGGAACGAGGGGGAGGGACAGAGGGGGAGGGAGAGAGAAGGAGGGAGAGAGGGGGGGGGAGAGGGCGAGGGAGAGAGGAGGAGGGAGAGAGAGGGATGGACAGAGGGGGAGGGACAGAGGGGGTTTGAAATATGGTGCTAGATGGGAGGGGGTCGGATGGATTGCGTGAGACGGGGGGGTGATTTGAAATTGGGTGATGGTATGAGATGGAGGGATTGTGTGCGATGGAGTGATGGAGGGTGGAATGAGATGGCGTAGTCTGCACATTGCTCACTCCCGTCCTCTCTTCCTCGGCTCCCACACCATCCTCCCTCCAGCTCTCTCCCCGTCAACCCGATCCCCTTCCCTGCTTCCCCCGATCCCCTTTCCTGCTTCCCCCGATCCCCTTCCCTGCTTCCCCCAATCCCCTTTCCTGCTTCCCCCGATCCCCTTCCCTGCTTCCCCCGATCCTCTTCCCTGCTTCCCCCCATCCCCTTCCCTGCTTCCCCCCATCCCCTTCCCTACTTCCCCCCATCCCCTTCCCGCCTTCCCCCCATCCCCTTCCATGCTTCCCCCCATCCCCTTCCCTACTTCCCCCTATTCCCTTCCCTGCTTCCCCCCATCCCCTTCCCTGCTTCCCCCCATCCCCTTCCCTGCTTCCCCCCATCCCCTTCTCTGCTTCCCCCCATCCCCTTCCCTGCTTCCCCCCATCCCCTTCCCTGCTTCCCCCCATCCCCTTCCCTGCTTCCCCCCATCCCCTTCCCGCCTTCCCCCCATCCCCTTCCCTGCTTAGCCCCATCCCCTTCCCTGCTTCCCTCAATCCCCCTCCCCGCTTCCCGCCTCCCTGCTTACCCCCATAATCTCCCTCTCCATGTGTCCTTCCACTCCCTGCCCAGGTGTCCTTCCTCTCCCTATCGCTGGCAGTTCCCCCCGTCGCTCGTATATTCCATGCTAGTCACCCTCGCTCGTTGGGAAATGGCAGTACGGGCGCTGTGCTTCGGCCAGCCTTTCTCATCCTTACCTCTCTCTCATTCCTTCCCACCTCACATTCCTTCCCACCCTCACCATCCCATTCCTCTCTCTCCTCCCTCCTTGCACCCGCACTCTCTCTCTCTTTCTTCTTGCACTCTCTCTCTCTCTCTCTCTCTCTCTCTCTCTCTCTCTCTCTCTCTCTCTCTCTCTCTCTCTCTTCTTCTTCTCTCAGTCCTTTCGCACTCTCTCTCCGTCCTCTGGCACTCTCGCTCTTCTTCCCACTGCCCTCAGCCCTCCATCCCCATCCCTTCTCAACCCTTCCTTCCTTTTCATGCCCTCCCCTTCCCCCTCACTCCTCACTTTCAGCCCTCTAGTTCCCATGCATGTGCACCCATCCATCACTGTTTCTCCATACATGCTTTCATCGTGTGCACTAGCTTGTATCCCCTTGCGGTTGTTCCCTTGCACCTCACACCACCTCCCCCATGTTTCTTCACACAATTCTTTCTGCCTATTCCACTCCCCTAAATTTCAGAGGTGAAGCAGAGGAACAAGCTGAGGCGCAACTAGTCGATGCTTTACACCGTACCACCGCCTCTTTCTTGTGTGTTGTATGCAAGCATGTTACGTCGTTACTGTTGGAGATATCCATCCCAAAGGCACCATATGTATTTTTGTTTCTACAGTGCAAGATATTCGTCCAAGATGCATTGACACTAGTGTCAGAAGGGTACATAGAGGCATGTTCCTAATACTTTCAATTGTACCTTTCTCAAGGCCCTGAATAAATACGAGCGGAACTGGTTCCTCTACGAGCATGGCATGGGATGATGGGCTGAGGCGAGTTGCAGTATCAGAAAAAAAATCAGTGTAGTCACTGCAATAGCGAGGGAGAGGGAGACAATACGAGGAAATTGGGAGGGGGAACAAGAAAAAGGTCAAACAGGGGAGATATTGGAGATATGGAATAGGAGGAGAGGGAAAGCGAGAGATAGGAAGATGAGCCGAGGGGAAGAAGAGGGGGAAACGAGGGGAAGCATGGGGGGAAACGAGGGGAAACAGATTGGGAAATCCTGGGAAGCAGAGGGGGAATTGAGGAGAAGCAGGGGTAGAAATGAGGGGGGGCAGGGGCTAAATGAGGGGAAGCAGGTACAAACAGGGAAAGCAGGGAGGGAAATGAGGGGCAGCAGGGAGGGAAATGAGGGGCAGCAGCGGGGGAAATGAGGGGAGGTGGGGGGGGGGATGAGGGGAAGCAGGCGGGTACAAACAGGGAAAGCGGGGAGGGAAATGAGGTGAAGCAGGGAGGGAAATGAGTGGCAGCAGCGGGGGAAATGAGGGGAAGCATGGGAGGAACTGAGGGGAAGTAGGGGGGAAAATGAGGGGAAGAAAGGGGGTAAAGTAAACGAGGGGAAGCAAGGGAGGAAAGGAAATTTAGTTGCAAGTTGAAGTGTTTCACTCGGTCAGAGGTAGAGTTGTGGAAGGAAAGGCTTAAGTTCAAGGCTTGCATCAGGATATAAGTGGAGGGCACTTCTTGATGGCACCATTTTGCGCATCTACCATATCCTCGCTACGAAAGACTCGGTATCAGTGTAACAGGATTAAAACACTGATGAAAGTCAGGGGAAACCATCTATAGCTCGGAATTCATAAGGGTACAAAAAATCAAACTCTTTATGAGTCAGGGTAAGAAATCCGGGAGCCTGACTGGGTCAGGGTAACCCCAAAAAAAGCGGCCGCCAGTCAGGGCAATCAGGGTAATTACCCTGACATTTCGGGGCCTGATCTACAGGTTGTAGAATGTCGTCATCGCTTGCACGTTCCTACACCCCCTGTGCTATGTCGTTGCCAGCTCCTGCAGTGATCGTTGAGCCCCTAATCTGAGGTGAATTTCGTCTCTAATTCGTTTCCTTTGTCACGTAGGGCGTTACCGATACTTGTCTGAGTAGGTGGTGTTGAAAATAGCACGCGCGTCGCTCTGTTTTACTAGTATTTCCCGTATGCATGGTGTTGAATGAGTGGTGAGGAAACGTGTACTGCAGGCACATTGTTCGTCGTAAGAGTAGCCATATACATGAAGCCTTCGGATTGGCCAAGGAATCTCTTCATGCGACACAATTTACGCATTAGATTGGTGAAGATCGCAGGTTGGGTGTGTTGCGATCAGAGGGTGATCGTGACCTAGGATCTACTCAGGAAGGTTCGCTGATAGGGTAGTGATGTTGGTGGGTACATTCCCTTATTCAAACACATCCCCAACTGTGAGGTGCGAACAGTTATGAAACTGTTCCCGCCGAAACCATCCTGTCTGCAGCTGCCTGATGCTGTCTGCTCCGATGGTTAAGATTAGTTGCAACCGTCTGACGATTCGCGTTCATTCGCGATACTGCGTGCTTCTCTTTTGTTGCGGTGAGGAGTGCACAGTAATATTCAAGTATTACTATTCGTAACACCCCCCTTTGCTCCTAGCCGCAGCAGCTTGACCTGGTTGACCACGCCACTGAGTTCGGAGCAGTGCTGATACTGGTGGCGTGGCAGTCGCTTCGTGAGGAAGTCTGCTGCCATGTCACCGGTCGGGCAGTAGGTCAAGTTGACCTTGCCCTTGTCCACTTCATCCTTCACGAAGAAGTACCGCAGCGCGATGTGCTTGGTGCGGTTGACGAAACCAGGTTTGTTCGTGATCCGAATCGCGCTCTGGTTGTCGCAGTGCAGGCGAAAATTCGCTGAGGCCGGGATTTTTGCTTCCTGCAGCAGTTCCTGAAGGTAGAGACCTTCGCGAACAGCTGCTGTTGCTGCGATGAATTCAGATTCCGCCGATGACAGGGCAACCAGCTCCTGCTTCTGAGAGTTCCAGGAGATGGGGCCGCTGGGCTCGAGGCAAAATAGGAACCCTGTCCTGGACCGTCGATTGTCAGGGTCAGCGGCGTGATCGGCATCCACGTAGCCGACGAGACTGAAGGATGTGGTTGGGATGGTGGAGTAACTGAGCCTAACATTGGGCGTGGAGATGAAGAATTGAAGGGCTCGCTGAAGATCTGAAAGATTCTCAGCCGTTGGTTTGCGTGAGTACTGAGCCAACTGGCTCGCAATGTAGGAGAGGTTAGGCCTGCAGGTAACAGATGCGAAGAGCAGGCATCCCAGCTGCTGCTGGTAAGTGTGAAGTCCAGCAGGGGACAGGGCTTTGTTGTCAGGCTTGTGGTTGGGTCCTGGAGTGCGGTAGGGAGTGGAGAGTGGTGCAGCTGCAATGTTGAAGCGCTTGCTAAGCTCCTCCGCATACTTCGCTGCTGAGAGATGAATGGCTTCCGGCGTGTAGGTGATGTTGAGTCCGAGAAACTGCTTCACGTCATGATTGCAGGTGATGTCGACGCGCCCTGCAAGGCTTCTCTCAAACTGCTCGAGCAGTTCGTTGTTTGAGCCTGTGTAGAGGAGGTCGTCGACGTAGACCGTGAGGAGGATGTATTCGCCACGGAAATCGCGGCAATACATTCCAGGATCGTGAAGCAGCTGCTTGAACCCGATTTCGAGCAGTATGCTGTGCAGATACTGCTGCCAAAGTCTCGGTGCCTGTTTGATCCCATAGAGGGACTTGCGTAGTTGACAGACACGTGGGTCTCCTTCGCCGTAAGTGTGTGGGTGTTCCACGTAGATCACGGCGTCCACTAATGCGTATAGGAACGCATTCTTCACATCGATCTGCCGCAGTGGTAGGTGTCGTGCGGCTGCGATGGCGAGGAGAATTCTGACGGACGTGTGTCGGCTGACCGGTGCGAATGTCTGGTCAAAGTCAATCCCATGCCTTTGATCGTAGTCGCGCACCACCTTGCGTGCCTTGAATCGCTCAATCATTCCGTCGGCTCCTGTCTTCACCCGGAAGACCCATTTGCCGGAGAGAATCCTTCTCCCCTTTACTGCTGCACGGTCGACGAGCACCCAGGTGTCGCGTGAGTCGAGTGCCCGGATTTCCGCATCCATTGCTTCGCGCCACTCCTTGCTGTATGGTCCAGAAAGAGCTTCGCGCTGATTTCGGGGCTCGACCACACGTGGCGGCTTCGAAGTTGTGGTGTGGAGCCCGAGCAGCTGTAGTCCCGAGATGGTGCTGTTGTGACGACGTTGCGGGATGACTTCCTGGACGTCGTCGTCGTCGCTTTCTGGTTCAGGAGGCGCTGGTGGTGCCGTGCCTCTGCCGCTCCCGCGTGTTCCGCCTGTTCCGCTTCCGCTTGCTCCGCCTGTTCTGCTTCCGCCTGCTGCGCCCATTCCTCCTCCCGGGGAATCGTCATCGTCGTTGTCGCTGCGTCGTTCTTCCCACACGAACTCGCCCCTCGTGTCTTGCTCCAAGATTGCTGCAGCGGCTTCGTCCTCGGGCGTCGCGTAGCTGTGCCCGTCGTTAGCGTAGACGCGGTTCGCGTTCGTTTGTTCGTTGCGGCGGAACTGGTCGAGGAAGAGGCGCTCGTAGAAGATGACGTCGCGAGCGTGGGCGATTTTCTGACTGAGGAGGTCCAGCACGATCCAGGCCTTGTACTCATGGCTGATACCGAGGTGGATCCCCCAGCGAGCACGGCTGGCGAACTTGCCGATGGTTGAGGTCGGCGAGTGGTATTGAACCATGCACCCCCATACGCGCAGCATGGAGGTATCCCCTTTGGTCCCGGTCCATTTCACGTGCAGGGACAGATTGCCGGTAATGGCGGTGGTCGAGAGTAGGTTGTGCACCCGTACTGCGTGGTGCATTGCGTAGGTCCAGTAGATCGGCGGCAATTTCGATTGCCTCATCAGTGCGCGCACCTTCGTCATTAGCGTGCAGTTCGTCCGCTCAGCTACGCCCTGCTGCTGGTGCGCGTAGGGGAGAGAAATATGATGCTCGATCCCCTTTTGCGTGAGGTAGGTTTGCATCTGGTTGCTCCTGAATTCTGCCGCGCCGTCAGACTGCCATATTTTCAGCTTCTTTCCGGACTGTCTCTCTGCGTGCGCCAGCCAGAGGCGAAACACTTCGTAGGCTCTATCGCGTGACTCCACGTTCACGACCCACACGTAGCGCATTCCAGCGTCGATGAAGGTGAGCGTGTACATTTCGTCCTCGGTTCCGCAGTGCCCTACGTTCAGGAAATCGCTGTACGCCTTGTGTAGCTTGGGGTAGCGGTTCGTTCCAGGTTCGAGTAACGGGAACGGTTGGTGGCTCAGCGCAGCTTCGGGGCAGACGATGCAGTTGCGCGGATGTGTTGCGCCTCTCACTTCGGAGCCATCAGGGCGCAGGAGTGCGCCAGGAGCGAAGACGCCTGAGTCGATGCAGTTTTTCAATGTCGCACGTGAAGGGTGTCCGAGGCGCTGGTGCCAGAGAGTGTCGTCAGCGCGAAAGCCGGAGGTGCGCATGTAGCGTGCACGTGCTTCCTCAGGGTCTTCGTCAGGTACAGGAACAGGTTCTGCTCCCTCTGCTTCTTCTTCTTCTAGCGCAGTGGTTAGCATCAGCGCCAAAAACTCTCTGTCACGGATCTCATAGAGCGGAATGTTGGTCCCGGGGATCGTGCCAAGAACGA